TATTCAAAGTAAAATATTTTAGCTTCAGATTGCAAATGCATACCAACTGCCTCTGGAGTGTAGTGTTACCCTGTTGCCTTTTATTATTTCAAATAACTGTTTTGTTTTAAATGTCTCCATTTTTGCCAGACATACCAGATATATATGTTGCCATTATTTCAATTAATATACATTTTAAGAGGGCACTCCATTGGAGGGCAGATCCAGGAGGGACAGTTTGCATGAATGAGAAGTTACAATTATCAATAATGCTTGTTTAGAAATCTAAATTCAGTGCCTAAACATACGATTCAAGCATGTGAATGGTCTGTTTTAAAATGGAGTTTTAACCTTCCATGCTAAGAGTACAGATACAGTATTTTTTTAAGTTAGAAGTGTACTCTTCATTTTACCTGTGGGTGGACTGAGCCATAGATGCTAACAGGTCACAACATTCAATACTGGGAATGAATGGGCTGAAAGCTCTCCCCCTCCCGGCCCACAAAGTAGAAGTGTTCACACAATATGTTTATCTGTGCCAAGTATCTCTCTCGCACACACATTTAAATAATTGAACATTTTCCCTTTCACTTACTTACTATAACTGTACAGTATGTCAGAAAGCAGTAAAAAAGTCAAGTACATTTTTATTTACAAGCAAAAATACACCTCACATTTAATGCATTGCTAGATCTGAGACACAACATACATCAACAGTCTGTACCATAAAATAATAATAATAATAAAAAAGGCAGGAGAAACAGATTTCAGAGAATGCTGGCCATAATTCTGATTTTGAGAACTCACTAAATTTTAAAATATTGGTAGATTGGTATCTTTTTTTTTTTTTTATAAGAAATCTTCACTGGAGAATACAAAATCTTTATTAAACAATGCCTTTTATCTGAATTATTCCTGGCTACAGTACATTGCTTAGGACAAATATATTTGAACACACAGGACTTAGAATTATTTTTTTTAAATCTCCATACACTCAAAAACCCCGCTTCAAAGTTTTAAGGTGTCAGGTTTTTAATCTTTTCTAGACAACTGAAAGTTGTAGTATGTTTCTCTTATCCAACAGGATCATATTTTCAAAGGATATTATCATCAACAGGGCTCGACAAGCAGCAGCGAGCCCTGATCGCCAGCTGTATGAAACCTCACGCTGCGCATGCAGATGACAATTACATTAATTGTCAAGCCCTGATTATCAAGACCTCTTTCAAAACCCAATTTGCCCATCTGGAAATTGTGGTAAACCTTAATACTGTCAAAATGAAAAGCTTGTTACATCCCATTTAGATTACTGGATGTGTTCGATTGTGGTGGATCTTATTTTTTCTTGAAAGTTCAGTACTCCATTTTCTTTTTTGCTGGTAAAGCTTATCATGTTCCTCCTCTGTTTAGTATGAAATATAATTACCAGTAACTCCATAGATATGGATAACATTCCTTCTCCTTGTTATTCAGATCTACCTTTCCACTTACAGTGTGCTGAATAATGAAGTCATGTCTCTGAAATTTATAATAGCGTTGAAGAAAAGGCAGTTCTTATTATCCCCCTCCCATCCAATGTGTGTTGAAAAATGACTACCCCACACAGGTATTTGGGAGAGGGGGAGATTAAAGCAACCCTCAGAGTGGTTGCAAGGAATGCTCACCAATGGGAAGAAGTCTTACTAAGATAGCCAATGAGGGAAGACTTGTTAAAGCAGTCAATGAGGACTAGAGAGAGCCACATAAGAAAGGCTGCTCAGAACAGCAAACGGGAGTGTCTCCCTAGATGTCAAGCAAGAAAGACTGCCTACCAAGAGAAGTACTTTGGATACATCCATGCTGGGTAGGGTCAGGAAAGTCAGAGGGAACTCCAGCTTGACTGGCTCAAAGCCTAATACAGTGGCAGAGAAGGTACGAGGGCTATGGGAAGCAGCCCAGGGAAACGGATGGCGGGGGTTGAAGGAGACTCAATGTGTGGCTGCTGCCCTAGAGTGTCCCTGGGTGTCGATGTGAGCTGGAGTTGTGCCAATGAGGAGTGGCTCCTATGGACTACTGTTTGCCTCTGCAAAAAGTGGCTAGACCTGAGGAAGTAGTTTGTTGCTAAGTCAAATGGAAGGCCTGAGGACTGTCAGTCTCCTGGAAGAAGGAGAGCGATGCGAGTCCCAGATTCAGGGAGCCAGCAGAGAGCTAATTCTTAACATGGCTTGCAAGAAACACTGGAGTAGTGAGCAAATAACCCATTACACAGTCAATTTGAGTCACATGGCTGTCTGTATTTTACTACAATTTTTTAAAAAGCAATATTTACAATTACTAAAACTAAAAGTTACTGAAATAAAGAGCTTTTAAAAATATAGGCTTTGAATCTCTTCTGAGTTTAATAAACTTATGCTTTTGACAGCTCTTTGTATATAGTCAGTTTCAATGTTTTGCATTTAAACATGCACATCTCCTGC